GGGCTGGGGATTCGAACCCGCCACCTTAGGTGTATGTGGCTGGCGCCCTAGCTGCTTGAGCCACAGGCGCCGAGCCAGGACCTGATATCTTAAGGGAACATTTTACAGGCTGTTAACAGTGACACAGGCATCAGGATGTGCTCCCCTAGCTTACCCTCTTTCTCTGTAAATCTTGCCTTTAACCATCCTGATCTCTGGGCTCTCTTATCTCGTGGGACTTGTCATCGTGCTGTTCCAAGCATGATGGAACCCCCCTTGTTTGTTTGAAGACGTTCTACCTCTCTAGGGATAATTGTCACTTCTCTCACTTAGATTTTTCCTACACTGATTTGATTTTGTCCTGTAACACTTTGTTGCCTAAATTTCTCTTATGAAATTTTCACACTCTGCTCTATATTGTTCTGATAATTCATGTCTTCTCCCTTCTTCAGTATAGACCCCATAGGAGCAAGGATGAATTTCTTATTTTCCCCAACAGGACCAATACAGCAGGTGCTGAGATAGTTTCTGGTTTGTGTGTGTCATCTTCTCCCAACTAGATAAGAAATAGAGCCAGACACCAGGGCTGGTATCCTTCAAAGTTCCTCATAAGCTCAAAAGACACTTGCATAAATGATTGTGCTGTCACAGGTGCTATGGAAGCAATAGTTACCAAGTGGGCGAAAACAGGAGACATCTCTAGTGAGAGGTACAGGACAAGAAGGCCAGCACTGAGTCTCCACATCAGGCCCAGAGCCTGGGTGAACTCTTCGCTGCCTTGGGCAGTTGCTTGTACTCATAGCCTCTTTTCTTCATTGGCAAGATGCAAACAATGCCTCCCTCATGAAGCCGTTGAGAGGGCTACAATGAATGTGTGAGAATGCCTCTTAAACTCTAAGGAAACATGAAAAGATTGGCTGCTGCTGTCCTGATGTTCATTTTTCATCTTAGGTACCTTCCTGTGTGAGTCTCCAGTGTTAGCAATGCATGAAGAAAACGTTTATACAGTGGAGCCAAACCGAGTTCAAGTTCGAACCTGGCAGGTAAATTGCTGCTCCATAGCAAGTGGGCTGTAATGATAAAGAAAACTAGAGCGGAGTTCAAAATGCTATCTCTAAATTAAACCAGAGCTAACCAGCTAGATCAGATATACCCCATGAGGTGACTGATTGTAACTGTCATGGCAGCTCCATCTATGGCTGTTGTGACTTCAGACATCAGGAGACAGGGCAGGGCCTTTTGTAGTGAGCAGGAACTTGAATACACAGGGCTATGAAATGGGAAGAATTGGTCAATTTGGGTTTAACCTGTATCCTGAAGGCTGAGTGGCTTTCACATTAGGACATAGTATCTTTGGAGGCTGTTTCCTGCATGCATCTTATGGACAGGACCAGGGTGATAGCAGTAATGGCCTCCAAGATGATCAGCCTCCAGCACACCATTTTGTTCCTTTCAGGCAGTGTGGAGTGAGGCACCCTGCCCCATCTGCATCCCACATACACTCCAGGAACCTGGGAGTTGTATGGTCTGTTAGCTTCCATGGCTGCTGAAACAAATTACTATAAACTAAATGGCTTAAAACACCAGAAATTCCTCTGTCACAGTTCTGGAAGCCAGAATCCTGAAATCCAGGTGTTGATGTTGGTTCCTTCTGGAGGCTTTGAAGGGAGAATCTGTTCCTCTCCTAGCTGGTAGTACTGGCAATCTTTGGTGTTCTTTGGCTTGTTCTACTCTCTGCCCTGGCTTCATGTGGCATTCTCCTCTGTCTGAGTCTTCTCTTCTATGTCTTATAAAAACAATTCATTGAATTTAGGGTCCACCCTAAGCCAGAATGACCCTCTGAAGATCCTTAATCACATCTGCAAAGATCCTTTTTCCTAATAAAGTCACTGTCACAGATTCCTGTGGACATATCTTTGTTGGGAGATGATGCTGTTCCAGCCATTGCATGCAGCAGCACTCTGTGACAAGTTGAGAGCATTTGTTATGCCCCTGGTTTTAGCAGTGGTTCTTATCCAGCTCTGAGTTCTTCCCTGGGACCTGGTGTCTGCTTTCCTGGGACTCCTATGTGCATGTTCTTGCACCTCCCACAATGCTCATGTGCAGGGCAGCAGCCTGCTGGGAAGCATTAAGGGACTGCTGGGAAGGGGCGAATGGTATGCCTAGAAGGAGCTAGAAGCTTGCTGGAAATCACAACCCACTGGGGCATCCTGTCTGCCAGGCTTGGGAAGGCATGTGATAACAGCCCTGTGAGTTGAGTCCTTTTTTTGTTTGTTTGTTGTACTATTAAATTATGGAAGGAGGCTCAGCACCTATAGCTCAACCGGCTAAGGCACCAGCCATGTACACCTAAGGTGGCAGGTTCGAATCCCCAGCCCGGACCCGCCAAACAACGATGGCTGCAACCAAAAAAAAAAAAAAAAAATAGCCGGGCGTTGTGACAGGCACCTGTGATCCCAGCTACTTGGGAGGCGGAGGCAGGAGACTTGCTTGAGCCCAGGAGTTGGAGGTTGCTGTGAGCTGTAATGCCACGGCACTCTACCCAGGGGGATAGCTTGAGGCTCTATCTCAAAAATAAATAAATAAATAAATAAATAATGTAAGGAACATGTGTGGGTGGTAACAGGTACAACAGTGCCAATGTGTGTAAGGGGAAGTCAGTGTTCTCCAGGATATGGGTGCATAGCTGCTGGCAGTCATAACTGCAGCATGGGTCTTATGGTCCCTGAGCCACATTGCTGCCAGGTGGTGCCCAGCCCCATGTGTGTTTCCAGACATTGCTTCTGATTCCTGTGGGGAGCTGGGCACTGAGGAGGGGGTGGTATGAGGCAGGAAGGGCAGGGCTGGTCCTGATTGTCCAGGACCCGCACCCAAAAGGCCGAGGGGGCTGTAGCCAGTGTGCTGGCCACATGTCCAGTCATGTTTTTTTTGGCATTGCATTGCTCTCTTCCTAAAGGAGACCTTCTATGCCCATGTAATGGATCTGACAAGGGCAGTTAGTAAAGTTTAAGGATGGCACAGGTCTGAAGGCCTAGGCTAGGCTCTAGGCCTTCACTGAGCCATAGGCCAGAGGTCTGGAACTCATTCATGGGAAAGGCACGCTGCACAGCATAAGGTCTGCTCAAGTGGGCCTGTGGGCCACAGTTTGCAAAGTGTGTGAAGACAAAGGGACACTTTAAAGACATAAGTGGTATGATGTTACATCCCAGCTCAAACCCTACAGTGTCCTCTGGCTTCACTTAGATTTGCTCTGTTCCCTATGGCCTATGGCCTGTGGCTCTGCTTGCTGCTCACTCTCAATGCCAGCCACTCCCACCACTGCTCACTCATTCCCACTGCCTCAGCTTCCGGGATCCTGGACCATGGAGACCTTTTCCTGCTTCAATATGTGTCTCCTCCTTTCCCTGGAATGCTGGCCCAACTCTCTGTAAATGATTCCTTACTCTTTTCAGTCTCAGTTGCCCCAGACCAGACTCACTCCCTAAATATGTTACTGAAGTGTAACACACAGGAGTGGGCCCCTCGTACCCAAGTGTGCAGCACAGTGAGTGGCAGATGTGGGATGTTCCTTTCCTTTTGCCAACCTCCCTACCCAAGAGTTACCACTCATGTGACAGTAACAACTTAAAAGTATTTTGGAGGCTTTAACAAAACACTGCTGCAAACAAGTCTTCCCAGGCCAACCTAAGTAGGTGAAATTCTTCCTTTCATCAGGGTGATATCTTTCTAATATCCTATTCATTACCTATATGTACTTGCTCCCCTGAGACCATGTATGTATATGTGTATGTGTGTGTGTGTGTGTTGGTTGGCCTAGCTGCTGTCTGCTTTCCCCTTTAGGCTGTAAGCACCAGGGCTCTTCTGAGGGCAGGGCACTATTTGTAGCACTAGTGTCTAACAGAGTTCCGGGCACACATGAAGCCATCGGTAAATATCTGTTGAATGAGTGGGATATAGGAGGTCATACATATGTTAATAATATTTAGTAACAAAAAATGAAGTGCTGTAAAAGCTGCTGTCCTAAATTTCTTGTTCTTTTCTTTTCCTCAGGGGACTGTCAAACAACTCCTCCTTTTCTCTGAGACTGAAGGGAACCCTTGCTTCTTAGACATATGTGGAAATTTCCTGGTTGTAGGGACAGACTTAGCTCATTTTAAAAGCTTTGATCTTTCCCGAAGGTACAGTTTTTATTAAAAGTACTACATTTTTTAAATTTGAAAACAGTATGGTGGGTAGAAAGTGGTACAGAAGTGAGAAAATTCATCAAGTTCTTATTTCAACATTAATTTGCCACTTCATTTTTTTTTAAATGTCTTATATCTTGACCTAAATTCTTAGTCTTTGCATAATAGTAGAGCAGCATAGGGGAGGAGGAGTGTTGATAGTTGAAACACAGGGGATTTGGGGGGTGGCAAAACTTACCTACATGATAGGTACAGGATATTGTGCCTTGGTCAAAACTTATAGAACTTTACAGCACAAAGTCTGAACCTTAATAAATGAAAATTTTTTAAAAATCATTTATAACGTTAGCGAGCCCCAGGATCAAATACAGATGGTAACAAAACAGTTTAACTATTAATATGTATGGAAAAAAACTGCACTGAAGGGTGTGAGAGAAAGTGCTCCCCTAAGCAACTATGAGAATGAGTGGGGACACTAGCAGAAGGGCAGAGGGAGCTGCACAAAGCCAGCTTTGATAAGCCAGCTTCTCTGGCTAATAAGGTTGTTTCCCACAGGGATATGGATCAATAATTCTAATGCTCTTACACATATGTGCTATAATTGAGCAACTAAGTAAATGGATGGCAGATAGCAGGAGCCAGTGTCTGGCAGTTGGAGGGGGAGTTCACCAATAAGCCAGGGAAAGAGGTGGGGATGACCCATGGCAGGGTGGATTGGCATTGGAGAATCAGTACAAACTTGTGTTTTGCTTGTATAATTGCACATGCAGTAAATCGTGTGTCTGTGCTCTGGTTAGCGCACACAACCTCTTGTTCTGCCAGCCTAGAGGGCCCAGAAGCAACAACACCCTAGCAGCTGATGAGCATACCCAGCCCCTGATCCTGGGCTCTAATACCATCTTCCAGTGAAGAGCTAGGGCTCCGTGAAGAAAATGGCTGATTCTAGGACTGGGGCAGGAAATATACAGAAGTGTCCTGTAGTGCTAGAAAGTAAGGAGGTGCTAAAATCAAACCCAGTGAAAGCCTCACAATGATGGATCAAAGAAATGCAGAACCAACTGAAAAAGCTCCCAGTAGCCAAAGTTGGAATAATTTGAACAGTAAAAGAAGTAAAGTAGCATTAAATTGTAACCCAAAGTAAAAAATAAACATACAGGAATCCACACTGATATAAATGATAAAGACAGTTGATGGTAGAGAAGAGGCAAACCTCCAGAGAGAAAAGTTGGAGCAGCTCACTTGGGCATGCACTCAAGAAGGGTGCAAGACCTAACTCCCTTCCCTCAGGAGTGGTGCACTTAGTTCTTTCCAGAGAGCACAACCTGGGAAGGGGGAGCAGTGGAGAGCCAGATCAACTCCATCTCCGCCCATATGTCAGCAGTAGCAGTGATGATTCAGATTGATGGCATGTGCCCTTAATAAGGTGTGATGAAAATGATGCTGCTTCTGTGCTCTCTTCCTCCCCAAATCCATAATCCCAGTCTAATCATGAGAGAAACAGATAAATCTCAACAGAGGTGCATCCTCCAGTACACCTCGCCAGCACCCCTCAAAACTGTGAAGGTCATCAAGTAACAGAAAAGTCAGAAAAACTGGCATAGCCCAGAGGAGCCTAAAGTGAAATGACAAGTAGACATCCTGGGGGATCCTGGATGGGTCTTGGGACAAATGCAAGACATTAGGGAAAAGAATTGAGGGGTACAAAGTAAAAAACTGGTAACAAGTTTCCACGGCATACCTAGTATTGTTTATATGAGCAGCAAACTAGAAACAGCATCACTAACAGGGGACTTGTTAAGCAACTTCTGGTTTATCCGTATGATGGAAACTATGTAACGGCAATGAAATATAATTAGTGTAAAAGAAAGAATGCAAAGTACAGAACAGCATTTTTTTTGTTGTTGAGACGGAGTCTTAAGCTGTTGCCCTGGGTAGAATGCCATCATAGCTCACAGCAACCTCCAGCTCTTGGGCTCAAGCAATCCTCTTGCCTCAGTTTTTTTGGTTTTTAGTAGAGACGGGGGTCTCGCTTTTGCTCAGGCTGGTCTTGAACTTTTGTGAGCTCAAGTAATCCACCCACCTTGGCTTCCCAGAGTGCTAGGATTACAGGCATGAGCCACCGTGCCCAGTCAGAACAGCATTTTTTTTTCTTGAGACAAAATCTCACTATGTCACCCTTGGTAGAGTGCCGTGGCATCATAATTCACAGCAACCTCAAATTCCTGGCCCAAGCGCTTCTTTTGCCTCAGCCTCCCAAGTAGCTGGGACCACAGGCGCCCGCCACAACACCCGGCTATTTTTTTGTTTCAGTTGTCATTATTTAGCTGACCCAGGCTGGGTTCAAACCTGCCAGCCTCGGCTGCATGTGGCTGGTGCAGTAACCACTGTGCTACAGGCACTGAGCCAAGAACAACATTTTTGATAAGCTGCTTTTTGGGTAAAAAGAGGAAGGGGGCTAAGAATACACATTAGTATATGTGTATGCTCATATGTGAAGTTTAACAGCTCACCTGTACCCCAAGTCAAGTCTGGCCCATGCCATGGCGCAAGTGCAGCAGCTGAGCTGCTGGCAGAGCTCAGGCTAAGAACAAAGGTTTGACTTGTCCATAGACAGTGGATAGCAAACACACATAGCAAATGGAGCTCTGGTTTGTACTGAGGCCCTTCTCTCTCCCTACAGAGAGGCGAAAGTCCACTGCAACTGCAAGAACCTGGCCGAACTGCTCCCCAATGTGGGGGCCATCGCCTCCCTCAGATGCAATGTCACTGGGAATAAGATCAGCATCCTCCTCAGTGAGGTGAGCCGAAGTCTGCGTGGATGCGCCTGGCTGGGGGGCAGGCCTGGGGCTGTGCAGTGGAAGGGCCTGCCCCACCCTGCCTTACTTCACCCCGCTGTTCTTGTGCTCTGCCTTTCCTGCTGGGCCTCCCGCCTCACCTTGTGCCTGCTTCTCTCAGGTGGGTCTCCTTGTCCAGCTGCTCTGGTCAGCCCCTCCTTTCTGGCTTTTTCCTTCCTCTCCTCTCTGTAAGTCTCTGCTGCGTGGTTCCATCCTTTTACCCCCCACCTTCCAGCTTTCCCTAGCTTTCTTCATTTCTTCTTTCATCGGAAACAGTTTTTTCTCCTTCAGAGAAACAGCTACCTACAAAAGGCCTATAAAAAAAAGTGGCAGCTGGACATAAAGAGCTTGTGGTGGCCTTAGTTGGCCTTTTACCACCCACCAGTGTTCATCTGTTCTTTCATTCAAGGGACGATTACTGTTTGCTTGCAGCAGACTAGGCACTTTGCTGGGTGGCACAGGTATAGAGGTGCTCAGGTAAGCCAAAGTACTCGGTCTCCCCTGGACAAACAGATGGCAACACTAAGGCAGCACTTGAGTGAATGCCATACTTGAGGCAAGAGCTCAAGTGTGCTAGGAGAGCATAGGACAGTGCTGAGTCCAGCTGCCATGGAGGGTGGAGACAGCTTCCTGAGCAGGTGACGTCCAACTGAGATGTGAGGCAAAGATGAGGTGGGGAAAGTGTCCAAGCAGAGGAGTAGTGAGGGCAGAGGTTTGCACTGGCAGCATATGGGCTCACCAAGTGTCTGCCTCTAGGGAGGAAGGATGAGTCTGAGGCTGGTGTGGTAGGTGGGCTTACTTTGACTTAGATGGAAGGGAGGAGGATAATGTCAGTACCATGTTTCTGGAAGATGGGATAATGGGGACGGATGATGCCAAAGTCCGTTCAGCACCTCTCAGGGCCATCGTGGAGCAATTGGTCATCTAGACCCTGCTGGTCATGTGGTAAGAAGGGTAGGTGGAGCTTGGTGATCCATTGGCCTTGGCTGTGAGGCTTAAACGGCCCATTGGCAGTTGAGTGAAGGGCAGAAAAGAAAATCAGATGAGAGGCTCGGCGCCTATAGCTCAACCGGCTAAGGCGCCAGCCACATACACCTAAGGTGGCGGGTTCAAATCCCCAGCCC